AGTCTGGTGAACAGCATCTGGGGACTTCAAAGTTTGCCAGTGACCATCTAAAAAGTAACTATTGATCTTTTCCTGCCTGAAGCAACAAAGATGAAAGAAAACCAAAGACTCAAGGAACTATCAGCCCAATAGACTAGTGGTCTACATGAACCATAGCCTCCTCTAACCTGAGACCAGAACTAGATGGTGCCCAGCCACCATCACCTGCCGTGCTCACTAAGACCACAATTGAAGGTCTCAGTTAGAATGGATAAAAATGTAGAACAAAATTCATGTGGAAACAAAAAAAGACCAGACTTACTGGTCGGAAAGAGGCTGGAGGAGCCCCCAAGATGATTGTCCTAAGACAGCTTTCTAACTTGAAACTCAAGACACTCCTGGAGGCCACCTCTCAGCCAAATAAGAGACAGGCTTATAAAATAGGCTATAATGTCTGTGAAGGATATACTTCTTAGAACAATCAATTGTACAAGACCAAACGCCAACATTTGCCCAAAACCAAAGATGAGAAGGCAGAGAGAGACAGGGAAGCTGGATGGATGGAAACAAGGAACCCAGAGAGAAAATGAGGAGAGGGCTGACACATTGTGGAAATTACAACACATCCTATATGAACTATTGATGGGAAAACTAATTTGCTAAATAAACTTTTACCAAAAGCACAATAAAATGCTAAAAAAAAAAAAAAAGAAAGAAAGAAAAAATGCAAAGCCTGGTGTTTCCCTATTTTTATGGGTTCCCATAAAATAATGCTCAGTGCCAAACTTAAAAATGAAGAAAATAATTGTATACTTAACCTACCTAGATCTTTTCAAATCAAAATAGTTCCTGTCTTAGTTCTCAAGTGCTGCTATAGCAAAAATATCACAAGTGGATGGCCTTAACAAACAGAAATTTATTTTCTTACAGTGTTGTTGAGTGTCATGGAGTCAGTTCCAACTCATAGTGACCCTGTATAGGGTTTCCAAGGAGCAGCTGGTAAGCTTGAACTGCCAACCTTGTCGTTCAAACCAACTTTGCAGTCCAGTGCATTAACCCACAGTGCCATACCAGGAAGGAGTCCAAATTCAGTTTGCCAACGCAAAGGGAATGCATTCTTTCCCTTTCAACTCTGAAGGAAGGTTGTCTCTTCAACTTGTTTGCTTTCTAGTTCCTTGGAAATCTCCCTGTGTCTTGACATATATCCTACCCCATTTCTCTCTGCTTGTTTGCTTAATCTTTTCTTACATCTCAAGAGATTTACTCAAAATACACCCTACAGGAATTCTACCTCATTAACATAACAAAGGACAACCCATTCCAAATCACCTGTGGATCATAGCCATAGGTACATGGTGGTGGTAGTGTGTCTTGGAGTAGGTTCTGACTCATAGTAACCCTGTATAGGGTTTCCAAGGCTATAAATCTTTGCAGGAGCAGAAAGCCTCATCTTTCTCCTGCAGCTGGTAGTTTAAAACTGCTAACCTCGAGGTTAGCAGCCCAACTCGTAATCAATATGCTACCAGAGCTCCTTAGCCACAGGTATAATGGTTAGGATTTACAAGTATTTTTGTTGTTGTTGTTGTCAGGTGCCATCGAGTTGGAACTGACTCATAGCCACCCCCATGCACAGCAGAACGAAACAATGTCCGATCCTGGGCCAATCTCACTACTGCTGCCACACTTGAGGCCATCGATGATGCCACCTGGCCAATCCATCTCGTTAGAGGTCTTCACCTTTTTCTCTGACCCTCCACCTTACCCAACATGACATCCTCCTCCAGCGACTGTTCCCTCTGAACAATATGTCCAAAGTATGAGAGATGAAGCTTAGCCATCTTGGCCTCAAAGGAGCACTCTGGCTGCACCTTTTCCAAAACAGATCTATTGGTTCTTTTGGAAGTCCATGGATGGCACTTTCAGTATTCTCCTTCAACACAACTCAAAGGCATCAATTCTTCTACAATCTTCCTTATTCACTGTCCAGCTTTCACATCCATATGAGGTTATTGAAAATACCATGGCTTGGGTCAGGCACACTTTAATCCTCAAGCTGACATCTCTGCTCTTCAATACTTTAAAAAAAGTTCCTGTGCAGCAGATTTGCCTAATGCAATACGTCGTCTGATCTCTTGACTGCTGCTTCTGCAAGTGTTGACAGTTGATCCAAGAAGAATGAAGTCCTTGACAACTTCAATCTTTTCTCCATTGATAAGAATGTTGTTTATTGATCCAATGATGAGAATTTTTGTTTTCTTAACATTGAGATGCAATCCATACCAAAGGCTGTGCTCTTTGATCTTCATAAGTAAATGTTTCAAGTCCTCTTCACTTTCAGCAAGTAAAGTTGTATCATTGGCATATCGCAGGTTGTTAATGAGTCTTCCTCCAATCCTGATGCCACGTTTTTCTTCATAGAACCAGCATACAGGTTGAATAAGTATGGTGAAAGAACACAACCTTGTCGCACACCTTTCCCAATTTTAAAACATTCAGTGTGCCCATGCTCTGTTTGAACAACTGCTTCTTGGTCCAGGTACAGATTTCTCAGAAGTACAATTAAGTGTTCTGGAATACTTCTCAATGTTGTCCATAGCTTGTCATGATCCACACAATCAAAAGCCTTCGTGTAGTCAAAAAAGCATAGTCAATAAATCCTTCTGGTATTCTCTGCTTTCAGCCAAGATCCACCGGACATCAGCAATGATATCTCTTGTTCCATGGCCTCTTCTGAATCCAGCTTGAACCTCTGGAAGTTCTCTGTCAATGTATGATTGTAGCCGTTTCTGTATTACCTTGAGCAAAACTTTACTCACTTGAGATATCAAAGAGATTGTCCGATGATTTCCGCATTTCATTGGGTCACCTCTCTTTGGAATGGGCACAAATATTGATCTCTTCCAATCAGTCAGCCAGATAGTTGTCTTCCAAATTTCTTGGCAGAGATGAGTGAGTGCTTCTTGTGCCACCTCACTTTCTTGAAAGATTTCAATTTTTATTCCATCAATTCCTGGTGCCTTGTTCTTTGCCAATTCTTTCAATGTACTTTGGACTTCCTCCCTGAGTATCATTGGCTCTTGTTCATATGGTACCTCTTGAAATGGTTGAACATTAACCATTTCCTTTTGGTACAATGACTCTGTGTATTCCTTCCATCTTTTCTTGATGCATTCTGCATTGCAACCCCTAACAACTGACTTAGGGCTGAAAGTATCTGTTCAAACTTTGCTTAACCAATTGTATTCCTAATGAAAGATCAGATTTAGAAATGCCCAGATAAAATTTCAGGAATGGCCTATTTTGAAAGGCAATGTACACTTAACTATGCAAGGGTTTAATCAAAGACTTGATGGTCAGAGGGTTGATGAACCTGATCATGAGATTCAGAAGCCATGTTCACCATAAGCCATGTTCACTCACTACTTTAATAATAAAGGACTCCTGGTGTGGCGCTGTAGGTTAATGTGCTGGACTGCAAAGTCAGTTTGAACTGCAAGGTTGGTGGTTCAAGCTCACCAGCTGCTCCTTGGAAACCCTATACCGGGTCACTATTGGGTTGGAACCGACTCCACTTAATGGCAGTCAATAACAACAACACCTCTAATAATATGTTTCACTGTTGCATATTGAGTCAATACTCAACCACTCTCTATATGCTTTTCCCATAGCTACTGATACTGATGCTCCTTTATCTCATAGCTTCTGGTAACTTGTGGCTTCTGTTATCAGTCTTGTCTTTTAACACTTGCCTCTGTTACTGCTTTCCTCTCTGTAATTCTGCAAACTCCCTACATGAGAGGATCTGATTGGTTTCGCCACTCAAAAACCTATGTGGGCCACCCTTGTGGGCAGAATTTGGACCAGGCTGTCTCTTGGGCCACTAGTTTCCAAGGAGCAGCTGGTGGGTTTGAACTGCCGACCTTGTGGTTCGCAGTCTAGTGCTGATTATACAGTGCTACACACATACACACACATGTATAACCGTTATGAAATATCAGAGTACGTTTGAGAAAAGTTTGCCATATATTTATTTACTAAGAAACAATGTCAATGAACTTTAAGTGCATATACACATGTTTATCAAGGAGCTCTGGTAGTGTAGTGGTTACCAATTGGGCTGCGAACCGCAAGGTCAGCAATTTGAAACTACCAACTGTTCCATGGGAGAAAAATGAGACTTTCTGCTCCTGTAAAGATTTATAGCCTTGGAAACCCTGTACAGGGTCACTATGAGTCAGAACCGACTCCACGGCACATAACAACAACAACATACATGTTTACAGTTTGAAGTATGATATTTTTATACAGTGTGGCTGTAGGATAAAGCACCTTAAGGTCAGTTTGAAACACACAGTCAGTGTTTCAAACTCACCTTCCACTCCTTGGAAATCCTATACAGGGTCACTATGTGTCAGAACCAACTTAACAACATTGTTATCCAAAGACATTTCTGAACCTCCTTTGGGGAATTTCCTTCATTTGCAATTTGCAGGTCACTCATTCAAGGACCAACATCACTGTTAGTCTAAAACCATATGACCTTGATCATCCACCTTATCAATTTCATTTCAAATTACTTTTGGCAATTTCCAGAAGCCAAATTCATACCATGAGGGAGGTATTTTGAGCAATATGACAGGTTCTAAGAATAATCGTTAATGAGTTATAAGGTATTTGGAGCAATGGCAGTATTGTAGGAGTGTGTATACAATACAGAGATAGAGACTTAGAGAAGTTTTCATTTACAAGATTACTTTGAGGGAGAACTAGATAGTCTCATTCCTTCAGAACCACCACACATCACTAAAAGCCTGCTGTCCAGAGTTTGACTTAGCTGAGTTTTCAGTAATAAAAATGTTAAACAGGTTTCTGACAAGATACTTCCTAGCTACAAGTAAGAAATCTAAAAAAGATAGAATACAAAGTTCCCTTTCACCTCAAATATCAAAAATAATTCATTAAAATGTTCCTGTCTATCCCACACCCTTCTGTTTGTGTTTTGTTCTTGTATTCATTCCCAGGGAGGGACAATCATTGCACTTTTGTTGACTGGAGTCATCTCAATCCTTTCTGCCATCAACGTGGGCAAGAGCATCCTGCTAGTCATGACACCAAAATTGCTGGCCACCTCTTCCCTGATGCCTTTCACCGGCTTCCTGATGGGCTACATTCTCTCTGTCCTCTTCCGCCTCAATGAACAGTAAGTATTACTTCAGGTCCCATTTTCCATGGGCCTCATTCTGGTTCTGCTACCTCAGGAAAAGGATAAGGACTAGGAATTTAAGACATTTTCCTAGCAATATGTTCAAAAGCACCAATTAAAAAATGAACTTTCGACCGTGAGAAATACTAGGAAGGGAATATATTGAAAAGGGGAGAAACGTAAGACAAAACTAGCAACAAAGGCAATTAATCAGAATCCTCTCCTGCCCGACTCCTTTGTAGTTCACAGCACTGGAGTCACATCATGACATTTACAGGTATCGAGAATACCCTCTTCCGTTCTTAATTTTCCTTTTCTGCCAAGATTTTGGCTCTGACAAGGACACCATTAGGTGACAGCTCTCTTAGTGGCACTCAGAGTTGAAGAAGCTGTGGAACTCTACCGTAGTCTAATCCAGTTCACAAACACAGCAGCCATTTTAGGAGAGAGTCCATTAGGGCCATCAGGAATCAAGTCCTTAGAGAACAGTACCACATTTCAAAGACTTCTCCGGTTTTCAATCATAGGAAACACTTACCCAGGAACCTAAACAAAAAAGAATCATCCATTTTAAAGCCATGAAAGCTTAATAACATTACTGTAGAATAT